AGTTATCGTCATTTATACAAAAACAAGAAATTATTTGGAAGCTTGCCTGTATCTCAGAAACTGAGCAACAAGGTGAATTGCTTTGAATCGGCGTATTTTGATCTCAGGAGTATGTGCTTTTGTACAGACCTTTTAGGAACACCCTGTATAGTCATTATATTGCTCAAATCACAATAGGTACACACCATCTGTTAATGTTATTAGGTATTATACCATTGAACAATTTATGAATCATCACTGGCATTACTTTTCCAGGTATTTTTTTTTTCAATTTTTGCTACTGTATGTTTGTATTCAAGCAAATTCAATGAATATAAAATTAGGTGAATGAGAATGGTTTATACTAGCTGTAATTTTTCATTTTATTTTTAAACTCGGCTGATTTTCTCTATAATCATGTACGTATTCGAAGCCAATTCGCACTCAACAACATTTTTGTTGCAGTATACAGGGTGTCAAAACAACTTGATACAAGGAAACTTATCTCAGTTCACAGTTGCTTAGTTCCCAGTTGCTTAGTTCACAATTTTCAAATGGTTTCTGCTTCATAACTTTGTAACAGCTCATGAGATTTCAATCCATGGGCGTAGAACTAGAACATTTGAAACTTCTGAAAAAGGTATAGGTACCTACTCTTGATAAAATATTATTACTCCTATATGGTATCGACAAAATATGAATTTCAGTAATTCAAAGCAGCTATCAACGAACACTAAAACGATGAACAGATATTTCATAAAAAATTTTAATCATTTTTTGTAGTAAACAAGTTACACAATCCAAATTCCATATTCAAACCTTTTTTTTCTACGGCTATGACACAAAATTGCTCTTGTTTTACAGTGTTCGGATACATCGATGAGGTACTGTCTATGTCATCAATTTCATTTCCGTATCTGATACCACAATGACTCCATTGAGTTATTATTTCAAAAAAATCTCATCGCTCATAGAATCTCAAATTTCAAGCAATGACAGCTCTGTCAAAGGTCGAATAAATGAACATTACTTAAAGTACAAGACGAAGAAATAAAAAATGCCGCCGATGTTTCCCCTGCGGCGGATGTTTATCTCACCTCGGGAGTGTCATTTTGCATTTTTTGCAATACATATGATTATTTTTCACTATTCAGTTTCAATTTCAAAACATTTCTTCGCAAGTTATTATCTTGTATATAATCAAGGCTCTGTTAATACCAAATTGCCCCCCCCCCTCCCTCAGAAAAATCCTAGATTCGCCCCTGAATATACTCCCTCCATTGATGTACTATAAACCCCTGGTGCAATTTTCAATTGATTATTTTCTGATAGTTATGAATTTTATCCACCATAGAGGAAATCGGCGAGATTGCAAACACCATATACATTGCAAGGAAACAAAAAAAAATAAATGTAATTATGACGTTCACATAGTTTTGATATTAGGGTGTCTGTATTTTTAAGAGCCCCTTTCAGTAATTGATAGCTTTCTGACATTCTTGTTCACCAAATTTCACGTTATTCCACTGTTCAACCCATTTTTAAACATAATGAAATCGTGGAACTAGGAATATAATTTTTTCACATTCTCCTGGAGGGTTTTTGTTGCCAAAAGAAAGAAAAAACTATGAATTCTCGTGTTCCTTAGCTTCCTTCATGGGCTGTCTACAAACTGAAACCTACTGTAAAAAATATTAATCATTCAATTTCTGCTGGATGAAAATTATACGGAATGTAGGAACTCAAAGTGCTGTTATGTTTTCAACATAAGGAACATTAATTAATATATCTATTTAAATTTGTTTTGCTTTTATACTCATCTAATTATAAAGTAAGAGGTGATGTACTATTAATTGTTGTTGAACATTTATGAATACTATCCAATAGTTAACAGTTTTTTCGAGCTTGCATGTATCAAAATAATATATTTGCAGGAAGGTATACAGCATGGGAGCTTATTTTCAAGGAAGAAACTTGTATTTTGAAATAAATAAAACCACCACTGTTGAAAAAATTCACTTTGTATTATTCCAAGGTTCCTTGGATTTTTACTTTGCAAGTCCTAGGTTATGAGTTTTTTTTTATTTTCGATAATTACAAAGTAGGGAGAACCAAGTATAAAAATAATATTCAAAACGAATAAGGCTAACGGTCCTGATGGAATTCCACCCATTATCCTAAAAAAATGTGCACCAGAATTAACACCGATTCTCTGCAAGTTGTTTACCGTCTCGTACAGGTCGGGTATTTTTCCATCATGCTGGAAGACAGCTAGAGTCCAACCAATCCCCAAAAAAGGGAACAAGAACCTGCCCAGCAACAACTACAGGCCCATTGCCCTGTTATCAGTAATCTCCAAAGTGATGGAGAAAGCCATCAATATTGAGCTTATCAAATATCTGGAGAGCTCGGGAATCATCAATGATAGACAATACAGCTTTCGCCACCGAAGATCTACTGGAGATCTACTTGCCTACGTCACCCATTTATGGATTTATGGCAAGCTTCATTAGAAAAACACGGGGAATCTCTAGCTGTCGCGCTGGACATATCGAAAGCATTTGACTGTGTTTAGCACGAAGGACTCCTCCACAAACTACCATCATACGGCTTACCACCTCAGCTATGCCATCTCTTATCGAGTTTTCTTTCAGGCAGATCGCTTCATGTGGTGGTGGACGGTGTATCGTCTGATACAATTGGCATCAATTCCGGCGTTCCACAAGGATCAATTTTGGCACCAACATTATTCCTTCTTCATATCAATGATCTGTTGGGAGTAACAACTTGCCCTATCCACAGCTTTGCAGGTGATAGTACCCTCCATACTGCGTTCTCTTCCAGAATTCCCATTTCTTCCCAGGAAACTTAGAACTCACGGTGCAGGCAGGTCAATGCTGTCAATGAAGACCTCACAGCCTGTCGGGGAACCAACAACCTAGTTGAATTCAACGCCACCAAAACTCAAGCCTGTATTTTCTCTATAAAGGCGGAACTCAGTGTGCCCGACATTGTAATGTCTGATGGCACCACGACCATCCCCACCAAGCCCACCATATCTATATGCTCGGTATTTCCATCAGCAACACTCTTTCATGGGATAATCATGTCAGATCCATCGCAAAAGCTGCTTCGCAAAAACACCAAAACATACGCTGATGCTCTTAGATTCCATCCAGAGAAGAGCCATCCGCCTGGTGGGTGACGCCACACTCTTTGACATCATTGGAACACCGTAGAAAGGTCGGCGACCTTTCACTTTTCTATCGATACTTCCACGGGAAATGTTCTTCGGAAATCTTCGGAAATCTCTGTTATCATCCCTTCACTAGCAATACCAGTCAGACGAACTAGACAAGCCCAGTCAGCACATCCTTTCGTTGTCAACCTCGAAAGATGTCGAACAGCACTTTATCAAAACTCAGTCATCCACAGAACGGCTAGGCTCTGGAATTCATTGCATGAGGAAGTATTCCCAACAACATATTATAATCTCCAGAAGTTAAAAAAAAACCTCCTATCCCTATCCTCCCTAGGAACGCACGATGTTCTTTGAACATTATAGGGATTCCCTTTCGTGCGCTCCAAGCGATAAAATGATGGACGAAGTACATGAGTGAGATATCTAAACAAAGATGAATGCTAATCTAGTTTAAATTATAATGATATTGGTTGAACACAAAATGATGGAATTTTTAATAAATAATAAAACATTTGGTGAAATTATTGTTTCACATGGCAGTTAAGTAGATTGACTGCCATGGCTGAATTCCTAACCTACCATATGAGTCTCATGTGATACATACTCTTACTTGCTCTACAGACCACCGTAAAAAATCGCATACTCCCTCTCTGTACCAAGTGAAGAATCAAACTCAAAACGTAGCCTTTCGCTACAAGATGTTGCTATATTGTATTTTGAAGCAGATGACTTCATCTCGTCAGATTTTGCTGAAAGATCACCGGTGATTCACATGGTAGATAAATGAACCATCTCATCATACGATTGTAGGGAAATTCTTATATTTTGTTGTTTTCTCTTACGTTTTTCCAGGAGTACGCAATTTACAAAAATTCACAAGATGGCAGCAAAACATACAAAATTGGTTACCTACTACCTTTTACGCGGAATGCCCCGATAAACCTTCATACTGTTTGGACTGTTTTAAAAAAAACATTAGATTTTCTTTGTACGATGATTATTGATAAGATTATTTTTTACTTATGAGTGTAACAATTTCAATAAAAAATTGACAAGAGAGTGAGCAGTGCCTATGTATTTTCATCAGAGTAATCCAGTCAATTTCTTTAGGCATTTTCCAGATCTATGTGTATCACTGGTGATACCCACTTCACTTATTTGGTTCATACCTGTACCATACCCAATTACCCACAATCTAATTCCTTTGTTTAAACACTGTGCTTCTCTACAAGCATTCAGATAATATGTGTTCATTATCACTGGTGATACATAAAGAACAGAAGTGAACTATGAAAAAGCATCACCGGTGATACATATGGTACCCTGGGTCAGAATGTTGAAATCAAGCTTGTAGTCAACATGTTATAGTTATTTATGTATTAAGGGAATTATGAGGGCCTTAATTACCGATGGCAAAGTTTGCGTCCCGAGGGCCTCTGGCACGAGGGACAGCAATTGCCAGAGGTTATTAAGGCTCTATAATTCCCGTGATACATAAATAATTTTATTTCTGACTGATTTCATTCATTAGATACCTTCCCGATTGGAAGTTAGACATGTTTTTCCGTATAGTTTCAATGTCATCAGAACGTCAGATGATGATCTTGACTACCGCGAATAGGAGATTCCTTATTGCTACGTTATTGCGTGGTTGTTGCTATGCATTTCTTATTTAATTTCAGCTAGAGGGAATTATAGCATCTATAACATCCCAAGGGAGTTATGACCCTCATTATAGATATCGTAACTATGACGATATAAGCTTATAATGTCACTGTCAGAAATAAATGTGTTTTTGCTTGCTGAGTAAAACAAATAATTATTTTTTGTTTTTTATTGAAAATAATGTAACACTACATTATTAATGTGTTTTTGCTGCTAGCCTCTTATCTCTTTCTTCAGCAATGCTCAATTTAATACCCTTTCCTCTAGGAAGTGACACAAAGGCCTTTGCTCCTTTTCCAATGATAAATACATTATGCAATCTAAAAAAAATCAAAACAATGACCAATTCAGGAACAACCAATTTCTCTCATCACTTACCTGGTGGCAAAAACATGACCATTTGCATCCTTGATGTGTACTATATCAAATGACCCAGGGTGGCGTTCACGGTTCACAACAGTACCAACTCTTCCCAAATTTCTCCCACCAGTGATCATACACAGGTTACCAGATTCAAATTTGATGTAGTCAAGAATTTTAGATGTGGCAATTTCCATCTGGATTGTGTCATTCACTTTGATGTTAGGGTCAGGGTAACGAATGGTTCTGCCATCATGTGTTACCAAAAATGGGATTCCTTTGGGACCAGTTTGGACTCTCCTTACTTTACACAACTTGTACTGAAATTAAAACAGACAATTATCCTAGGGCAGAGAAGAGTTTAAAATTTGTTGGAATTTGTTCAATTATCAGATGAGTAAGAGAGCAATCACAATTATCAGATTTCAAATGCCATTAAACTAAAAATGCATCATGGAAGTTGTGTTTAGGTGATACTTGGATCGAAGAAGATAATAACAAGGTGAATTGTACATACTTTTGCCTCTTCAGCTGTAATACGGTGCACAGCAAATCTTCCTTTAACATCATAGATCAGACGGAAAAATTCACCAGTCTTCTCAATAGTAATGACATCTGAAAACAATTATTCAATTACATACATAATTCACAAGATAATGAAATGAAACACTCACCCATGAAACCAGCAGGGTAATTAGAATCAGTCCTCACTTTACCATCAACTTTGATCAACCTTTGCATAACAATTTTAGTGACTTCACTGTTTGTAAGAGCATACTTCAGCCTGTTACGCAGGAAAATCACTAAAGGCAGGGATTCGCGCAACTTGTGAGGCCCGGTGGATGGACGAGGGGCGAAGACACCCCCCAATTTGTCCAACATCCATGCTTTGGGGGCATTTAAACGTTTCAAATGCTTCTTGGGACCTCGAGCCTGAAAATTAAAAAATAACAATTAGATTAGTATTTTCAGCGTACCGATTGAGAACACTGGATGAGATATTCTTGAATCGCTATATTTTTGAAGAAAAAAATTTCCTACTCAAAGAAAACATAACCTTACGGTCAATTATTTATTTCCAAGATATTATATGGTGAATCGGGAAAATACACATCACATTACTACTTCTATAGATAAATAAATAAATTCAAATAATAATATTGAACAAAATGTAAGTGATGAAATAAGAAAATAACAATAATTTTAAAACTGTACAAAACCTACCATATTTTGGGCAAAATTCTAATATGAAAAGGAATTTTTGACGTTGACGTTTTAGTGCCCAATCCACAATGAGACAGAAAATGAAAAATCCCTAGTTTTTCGACATTACGGACGACATATGTCATATTTCATTTTTCAGAAGTCAAACGGTGAAACTGAAACTAGAAAGAAATGAGAAGAGGAGACAAGGATGACGTTTCGTTAATTTCGTGACTCATTCTACATTTGCGGTAATGCCAAGTTACAAAATTTTTTGGAGGTCTGGAGCAGTTTTGTTATATTTTATATCCCAGATTTCATCGCAAAATTCGCAAATACAACATACTTGGTTTCAAAAATCATTCAATAATGAAATTTGGGATTAGTACCATAAATTACAATGTCTAAGGGAGTTGACATGTTTTCAACTAAAAACCAAAATATTTTTTGTCGCAGAACTCATAAGTCGTAGAAAACTGGCAATATGGCAATATTAATGAATGAATGATTAATAATTTAAGTATTTCTCGGTATTTATTTATGATTCTTTTTTGTAAAATAGGAACTAAAAAATATCTCACAGTCTCAAAATATTGCACTATTGATTAAAATAAAGTAAGCGATAAACATACATTTTTCAATCAAATGACCAAATCATTTTGCAGCTAGTCCTGTGTACAAAACTTGTAGAAACATCGATTTGCTTTTATAGTCCAAGGAGACCTGAACTGAAGAAAAATGGGCAACGAAATGTCTTCTACTGCTATGGAAAGTATCCTTTTCAACAATAGTTAACTTGTGAGAGAGGGCACAGTGCACATCCTATATTAGTACTGCATTTATTGAATAATGTATTTTAGTTATTACCTTAATATAATCTAGAACACCTATTCAATTTGAAATTTGCTGTGAAGGAACTTGAACGGAACTCAAAACGTTGTGAAAAAGAAGAAAAACAAGAGAAAGCCAAAACCAAACAAGCCATTCAAAAAGGAAATATGGAAGTAGCTAGAATACATGCTGAAAATGCAATAAGACAAAAGAACCAATCTGTTAACTACCTAAGAATGTCTGCTAGAGTAGATGCAGTTGCTAGCAAAATACAATCAGCTGTTACTACAAGGAAGGTAACCAATTCCATGGCTGGAGTTGTGAAAGCAATGGATGCAGCTATGAAGAGTATGAATTTGGAGAAGATTTCAGGAATTATGGATAAGTTTGAATCACAATTTGAAGACCTTGGTGTTCAGACTGAGGTGCTAGAGAACACTATGGGACAGACTACAACCACTCTTGTTCCTCAGAATGATGTAGATTCTCTTATGCAACAGGTTGCTGATGAAGCTGGGTATGTTTTTCCAAAGATTTTTCTTGATAATCTCACTTTAAACACATTGTGGTCATCATTGGTGTTGTCATTTTATGGCTTATTCATATCCAATATGGCATATGGAATAATAATTGTAGTCAGATGATGTTGGTGACTTGAGAGATCTTAGTACTCATTACAATTTGAGTAATTTTGTTTCAAAAATAGGAAGTATGAGATTTATGTTGTCTTTGTGAAAGGTGAAGATCCATTGAACTTTTGAGACTCATGTTATTGGCTCAGATTATTGTGATATCAAGAATAAGAAATTCACCTTGTCTTAAATTGTGGAGGGAAAATCATTGTTATGACATCAAGGAATGCTGAAAATCTCACTGAAAATATACAGATAGTAGGAATATATTGCAATTTGACTAAGTATCCTTGAATATTATGCTGGTAATACTCCAGAGTAAGTAATAAACACCAAATTATTAGGTTACTTTCATCAACCTATCCCTATATTCAGGTACCTTCCAGGAGAAATGTGATAATAATTTCACCTGAACCTAATATAAAATAAGGAATTTCTGGGATTTTTAGACAGTGAAAACTTCCCTCTGCCTGATGTTTGAACTGATTTCTCATTTTTTTAAAGATTGGAGTTGAATATGGAACTTCCTGAGGGCCCCCAAGGTTCTGCAATTGGCAATACTTCCACAGTATCCCAGGAACAAGATGAACTTAGTCAACGACTTGCTAGATTGAGGCAGGCAGAATAAATTTCAAAAAAGCTTTCTCCACTATGTTTGAACAAGGTTTGAACTCAATAGTAAGTAAATTACCAATTTGTGATACTCTAATAACAAATATTCTTAGTATTCATTAATTGGAAATAACTATTTTATATTTTGTATTGTTTCAGTCAGTTAAAACTGAACATCTATTAAATATTCTGCAGAGATTATCTAAGACTTTTATTCAGTCTTATCTTTATTTAATATATAGAAATTTAACATTTTTATTGACTAGGTCGTTTGTCAGCTATTATGTTTGTATTAAAGTTTATGTGAATACAATTTTCAGATTTTATTTCCATTGGGGTCTGAATATGGAACCACACTGAGTAGAAATTAACCACTATATTTTGAAATTATAATAGATTCATTGTCCCCAAATTGTCCCTATATGTATCTGACAGTTTTGCTGTAATTTAATAAGAGTACTGACATCATAGGTTCATTCTTCTGCTTTTCAGTGGCATGTAAAATCCTGTGTGATGCACTACACTATGAATCAGCTGATAATTCGTGCAGCTACACCAACGAATTTCAAATGAATGAAGAAAATTTTGAATCACACGAGGTGTACGAACGTGCTACACTTTTCGTACAAAAGAAAGGGCATTATGACAAGCAGTGACAGAAGGCATAACCCCAAATTCTCGAAATGACTTTGAAGTTTTGGTTGAACAAAGACATGGATATGCTTTCCCATGCACTTTGGAATTGCTTTGGATCTTCTTTCCTCTGCCTTCCTTCCTTTGCCGGGGTGTCTTTCTTTTCATAAAGAAGTGGCGTCTCATCTGACTGGCCAAAAGGGGTCATCGTTTGTAACTTAATTTATAGAGAATTATTCAGGATACTTTTCAATTTGTTATCGATTTCATGGATTCGCGTTTTTAAATACTGAAGTTGACTATAATTTTGGTTGAAATATATACCGAAACTATCCATTTGGGTCTTGATTTGATTCAAAATTGCCTGCATTCGCAGTATCCTCAGTCTTCCAAAGATTTTTGATGAGATAGTTCCTTATAACAGCTGTGAATTCTTGTTACTTGCAGTCTTGTATCAGAGTATTTCAAGGTATTTTTCAACTGTTAATCCTTTTCTTTGAATTTTTTCTGTATTTCTCATCATTCTCTATAATAAATTTTGACTCAATTTTCACAATGGCCGCTTCATAATATTTTATTTCCATTTCTGTAGCTGTAAAAAATGAAATAAATGAAATGATTCTCTCCTATTCTTGCAGTTTCCGACTAAACAATTATATAGCTATTTTAATTTTTGAGAAACTGAATTTTCAAATAATTCAATGTCATGTACGTTCATGAACTGTCAGTGCCCGCCAAATTGGTCATGTCATTTAAAATTTTTTAGGGTTATGCATTCTGTCAGTCTGTCACTACTTGTCATAGTGTCCGTACTCTTATTGGTGATAGAAAATAAGCGTACGCCACCTATGGAAGTTTTTGAAAGCTGTCAAAGCAGTATGTTTACTTTGTTTTCATTGGTTCACATTTGTTTTTCGTTCGTGTGATCATTGGTCAATCCTTCAAAACAAACCGCTCAGAAGTGTTCAAATTGTTGCCGTCAGATGGGGCGACGTGTTATTTTCCATCGGGAATTACAGCAAAACTGTCAAATACATACAGGGACTCTAGATTCAATTGATTTTAAACCTTTATACAGGGTGTTAGCATTGCAGTGGGTTATTACCTTTTTAATATTTATGGCAAATAAGGTCCCGGCCTAGTCCGGGAAGATTGCCGAAAAAGGATATTTCTAGATATTTCAGCAACTTGCACTCAAGCAGATTCCGAGATTATAGACAAAGACAGCCAAGAACTGAGGCCAAATTTGGCTTCAACATCGAGGGTAGGAGTTGTCATCATTATTGACCAAGATAAAATTGGGAATAATTCTAATATTATGACAGATGGAGAAAAACAGAGTTTATGATTCCCACTTCGACCTCAGAAAATTTTTCTGATGGCCTAAGGAAGTGTTTGGGATTAGGTAACACTCCCTTCATTCTTTGCTCGCACAAGTCTCTTGAAGACTTTTGAGGGTTGCTTGTAAGGGGGTTGCAACCAAATGATGGATAAGAACAATGAGGAGGACATTGAAATAAAACTCAGTGATATGGTCGTATCATTTGTAATAATTTTCCAGCAGATACAGTTCGCCTATAATCTAACGCGGGTGTTCATAAACTATCAACAACTCCCTGCAGAGTAAAATTCATCCTATCATCCTCATAAAAACCCACTCCATACTTTCCAACAGCAACCGAGACGTTGACAGTCCACAAACACATGAAGTAATTACAATAAAAGCAATATTTTAACCAATAAACAAAAAAGTTCCTAACATCCTAAAAAAATCAGTTTTGTTCACTCCGCGACCGCTTCAGCTGCGGCCCCTCCAACGTCTTATGCCTGATTATCCTTTTCGCCTTCAAAATCGACAGGGTGTCTTTGCTAGTATGCCGGGGAAATTCACTTAGGTCCGGCTTGGGATTCACCACGGTCTGCGACAAAAAATCACCGGAAACGCCGTCGTTCGAGGGCTTCAGCGGCGACAAGGAGCCGTCCGTCCTCGTTTCGTCCGCGCTCGAGCCCCCTTCAGAGAACATGTCCGACTTGGAGCCGCTGTTCGACAGGAGGGAGCCCTCCTTCATGTCGGCGTCTTCTTCGGCTGTTGAAGGGCCTTCTTCCTCCTCCATCGCTTCATGTTCTTCTTCCTCTTCTTCTGCGGCATCGTGTTCGACCACTTTACCTGTCAAATAATTTTTTGTCGGTCAGAATCGATAAAAGGGGTCGTTGCTGTACCGCGTAGTCGAATTTTCATTTTGGAATTGAACATATTTTCATTAGGGTCCCTTGATGTAAATTGACGTATTTATCATCTTAACAGGGTACAGACAGATCCTCGTCTCCTCTCACTCTAAAGTGTTGTATAATAGTTATATAGTTCCATCTTCATTTATTTCTGGGGATAAACACTAGATTTTTGACATTTGTTGTTTTTTAGGTTATATTGAGAACATTGGCGTATCATACATCATTAGTTACCACATGTAATTTCTCATTCAACTCTACATATTATATCCAAATGATGATGATACTTTTCGAGTTTTTGATTTTTCAACTCCAGCATAATCATTATGAGGCAGTGAACAAATTTTTCTGAAAGTTTAATACGGTTTACCAGATGGGACTGTTCTTAGGCAGTACCTATCAATAAATGAATTTTGATTTCAGACTAAGCCTTATGGTTGAGAAATGGTGAAAAATGTTATGTAGGTATTTAAACTAATGTGCTCATATGTCGTGTGTGCTTTATATATTCATATTCATGTAGGGCATAATCCTCCGTTTCAAACCCAACTGTTTCTACTAAAATGCATTCAAAAACTTGTGGAGTGGATAATTATAGGCACAATGAGAAAGTATAATATGTGATTTCGTATTAGTTTACCTCGAATATTTTGCTGATGTATTTACAATTTTCCCCATTCGGTCACTTCACTTTCCATGTTCTAAGTTCATTTGCATTTGATGGTAAGCTGACAAATTCAAATTTGCCATCCAACTGATTGATACAGCCTAACGCAGCACATTTTACCATCCTTCCAAAACAGAATTGAATAATGTCGTATCAAGATCAAGTATGAAATTAAAATTTTGTAAAATCTCTTTTAACGCCTATGAATGTGACGTGACAGCAATGTCATATGTCAGGGACGCCAATACACGAAATCAAAGTCACTAGATGATTAAAAGAGAAAGGAGCTACGATCTGTCCGTATCTTGTTAGATCACAAATACGTCAGTTTGCATCAAGGGACCCTAATTTTCATGGATTAGACATTTGGTATTGTGAGGTTGGCTGTTTGCTACAAAGGTGTGAGATGTCAAATATGAATAACATCGATGTCATTGTCAAAATTATTGAGTTTTCATCAGATTCTATGCCAGCAGTAATCAGTGGAAACGGCTATGTAACGCTTCAGTGGTGATTTGCTGCTATTTGCATAGTTCTGTTATTGATGAAATAAACCTCTGGTGTACGCACTTCAAGAAGCGTCTAGCTACACCAGCGAATCTTTCAAACATCGAGGTCAAGTGACGTCACCCACAACACATAATATTTCTTCCTTATGTATATCGAGAAACTGCGCTACCACGAGCGAAGCGATAGCTTATTGGTCTGTGTATCTTACTTCCACGTTGGTGGCTGAGGTTCAATCCCTGCGAGGCGTAATTTTTTTTTCACTCAATTAATTTTTCAACAATATACTTTACAGGAAAAAGGTTCATTCAGGACAAGTTAGGTTGGAAGTACTTGCCTTTTTCATGCAGAAGAGATATTTTCCTTCCTCATATTATCTGATCAGTCTTATAAACACGAATAACCTTCTGATAACCTTGAGGTTTGAGGGATTCGCTGTTCTAGCTAGACGCTTGTCGCACTTCAATCCTTTCCTGTTTTACAATTCCTACTTCCTACTTCGATAAACATAATAGAGGGTTGAAGTGTTGTCATGAACGTTAACGTAAACGTAGAAATTGACAGCTTCGCATGCGCATTTTCCAATTCTTCACGTTTACGTTGTTAGTGGGCTTACGGGCGTACGTTATCTCACGTTCCTTCACGTATACCTTAAATATCAACGTACGTTAACCAAACTATAGTCGAAATATGCCGATGAGTCAAAATTATCAAATTCGAGATCACCAACGAGTTCTGCATCAAATGGAGTCCTCTAATTTTGACAGGAATAAATGTTCGAATCTAAACACACAACCAAAAATGACCAATACAAACCGAAAACAAAATGTATTATTACGTTATGATGACAGTGACGACCGTGGCGACTTCAACTCAATTTAACGACAATAAGTAAACGTTATTTTTCGTACGTTAACGTCGACGTGGAGGTCTACGTACAGTGATTACTTCAACTCTCTAATATGGCGTGGGTGAATTTCCCTAAGTTTATAACGAATTCCATTGACAGGAACTGGTGGAGAGTTTCTGCACTCATATATGTTTCCTTCTTTCTCGCATGTGTTGGACAGAGGTAAATATA